CTCTCTCTCTCTCTCTCTCACCTTTTAAGCAGAGCATGTCGTCCTCGCTCGCCCGCCGTCGCTCACTCTGTGTGTGTGTGTGTGAAAGTGAATCTCAGCAGCAAAGACTGAAAACACAAGTTCAAACACAGATTCCTCTCTCTCTCTCTCCCTCCCTGTCTGTCGCTGCCTCGTTCTACCACAATAAAAGCCCCCTCCCTCCTCTCTCTCTCTCTCTCTCCTCTGTCAAACCAACCCTCGCTCGACCCCAACCTCCTCTCTCCCATCATCCCCTCCTCAGTGGTGGAACAAGTATTCAGATCTTGTTCTGAAGTCAAACTGTATCTGACAAATAGATTTAAAGGAGTCAAATGTCAGATTGTGGAGCATTTATTTTATGTATTAATCACTTTTTATTGCCAATAAGTGAACGGCTAACTTATGTATTCTGATTTTAGCCAACAATAAATAATAGCGTTCTAGTAGCCAAGAGCGATGTGAGACAGGGCATCCAGCTGGCTAACTGCAGCTAAACTAAGCTGGAGTTGTCTGGAAGGGAGTATAAAGTATAAAGTATAAAGTAACAGAATGAATAACGTACCTTGAGTAAATGAACTTTGCTGCAGGTAATAAATGTGATCTGATGTTTGTTATTGTGGCTGTTTCTACCTCTGACATCAACCGTCGCTAGGCAACACACCAAGCATCTCCCCGAGCAGCCAATTAGACGGCTGCGTGATTAACGAGAAGTCACACACACACACACACACACACACACACCTGACTGACAGAGGATGTCATGCAGAAATGGCTGATGGGAGATGTAGTCCCGTCGTCCTCACACGCAGCAGCAGGTATCTGCACCTGCAGACAGAAATAGCTTCATTAATCACCTTAGTACACACACACACACACACACACACACACAGTTACTCAGTAGCATATGAATCATCTATAAAAAGGATGCTGTGTAATACTGTTACATAAGTTGACCAATCAGCAGCTTTAAAATCTATAAATGACTCATCTATTTACTTTCTGTAAAGTGCTGCAGCTTGTTGGTTACATTTGTTCTGCATATTGATTTATTTGATTGTTGTTGCGTTTATAAACGATTACAACTGAAGAACTCGCGATAACAGCGACTTGTGCGAGAGCTTGGTTAACGGGATCGTTGTGATTGGTCCGTGGCCAGGCTGCTGAAGCGAGCCGATTGGCTGTCCCGGAGGTAAACACGGAAGCGAGCGCTATCGGCTGAGCGCGTCGTCGGTGAGTTCCGAACAAAAACACGAAGATTTATCGATAAAAGTATTTTATTATTATATTATTATTATTATTATTATTCTGCGCAGAGATTTTCACTCCAGTTCAGGTCGAGGAGCTTCATTACACACAAACCCATCCGGTTGTAGCGCGTGAGCCTGTTAGCTGCCGTTTACCGTTAATACAACGTGTATTATTATATATATTATTATATTATTATATATATATATGTGTGTTAAACTGTTGGTAAGGTCCTGGAATAAAGTGTTTAATAATATAATGATAAAGAGACAATGTCGGTTCTAAATGAGTCCGGATGTAAATAAAGTTAAAGGTCAATAATAGAAAATAAATCTTATATAAGTTATAATGCTGGGAGTAGTTAATACTTTTTAATTCATCTTTAAAGTCTAAAATAAAGTCTCAGGAGAAAAACAGTGAAAGGACACATTTTTAATCAGTTTAATTCAACAGTTAATAAGTATTAAATGTTTAAAGAGAAAGTGAAAACTGCAGAAAACCCGTTGTGAGTTTGTGTGTAATGAAGTAAAAAGCAGGTGACTGGTGAACTGAACAATGCACTCCTGTTATCTTCAGCACTGTGTTGTTCTGGGTTTCTCATTTAACTGTTATTGTCCCTTTTCAGCCACCACATAGCGATAGCCACATTTGAAGCTCCGTACGCGTTTTTCCAAAACTCGAGGAACATGGCCCCCAGACGGAAATTTGATTTTGAGTTCAAAGAGAGAGTTCTGCGGTTCGCGGAGACAAACTCGGGAGAGAAAACGGCGAGGCACTTTAACATCGACGCTAAGCGAGTCCGGGACTGGAAGAAACAGAGGGAGGAGCTGCTGCAGGCGGACCGGCGGCGGGCGCGGCTCACCGGCGGCGGGAGGAAGAAGCTGAGTCTGGAGCTGGAGCGGCGGCTGGCGGAGTGGATCTCCTCCATGAAGGAAGAACACTGCCGAGTGTCCAGAAACATGATAAAGAAGAAAGCGCTGGAGATCTACCCGTCAGTGAGCGACGGCGGGAAGACGTTTGTGGCGAGCACGGGTTGGCTACAAAAGTTTCTGGAGCGCAACGCCGCCTCGTTTCGACGCCCCGACTCGCTGACAGAGCAGCTCTCTGCCAAACTGGTCTCCTTCGTGGAGCACGTCGGGAACACTGTGAGGTCCAGAGGGATTCTGGAGGAGGACATCATCGTGATGGACGAGACGGCGCTCTGCTTCCACGTCGTGTACCCCACGAGTGGCGAGAATCCTCAGACCACCAGGGGGCGCAAGGAAAGCCACCTCACCGTTGTCCTCGCCGCCAAGGCGGACGGCACCAAGCTGCGTCCGTACGTCGCCTTCAGGGGCGCTGAGGAGGAAGTGGCGGTGCTGCGACGGCACGTCTCCGGCGCGGTCCTCGCCACATCCACCAACGGCTTCATGAACGACACCCTCACCGCCGACTGGCTGCAGCGCGTGCTGGGGAGGTCCGACGCGGCGCGCGCCGGCCCTCTGGTGTGGTGACTCCGTACCGCTGCCAACCATCAGCGGCGCCCACCAGAGCGCCGAACTGAGACGCGGCTACGACATCACGACCGGCGGTTGATCCCGAGAGGCTGCGCCAAACACATCCAAGCCACCGACGTGATGTGGAACCGGCCGTATCAAGCGGAGTCTGCAGGACGCCTTACGAGCGGTGGCCGCGGGGTCGCCGATAAGGAGTACACAGCAGACGGTTACTTAAGGAATCCCCGCCCCGCCGCCTGCTGGTGGACTGGGGTTGCTCGCCGCCTGGGGACGGCCTGAAACGAGGACCTGATCAGAGAATCCTTCAAGGTCTGCGGACTGTCGGTGAAAAGCGACGGCAGCGAAGGACGACCTCCATCCGCTGCTCGGGGACGGACAGCCCGCGGGCAGAAGGGCGGGAGGCGCTCGCTCGGCTCCGACTGCAGAGCGCCGAGAGCAGACGAGACGGAAGATAATCAATAAAGACAATATGGTTATTGATGAGGAGAAATCCACTGTTACACACTTTGTTTCAGAAAATGTTTCCCAATAAAGGTTTTTTTTTTACTGAAAACTCATCTTTTAATCCTTTCCACATAAACACCAAGTGAATAAAGTTAATATATTAAATATTGTTGCCAGCAGTTTTGACGATCACACTTTATCTTTTGTTGTAGTTTTGACGTGAGAGACCTCTATGGCAGAAATTACATATTGTACATTTTCAGCTATATTTTCTTTATCATAAATGATCGTAAGTGAAATACAATTTTGGTTTTTTTAACTTTGACCTGCGTGTACAAACCTCCCATTAACGAAACCAGGAACTAATTTTTGCAGTTTTCACAAACATTAATGGTTTCACGTTCTCGTATTTTTCACCAATAAACGCAGTGTTTGAAATGTGTTCAACTTATTTCTTCCTCCGTAGAAAGCCGTCATGTCTTGTCATCTCATACAAACCCCGCGGCGAAGTGGGCGGCGGCGTCGCGGCTCACCTCCAGGCCCCCACTGCGGCCACTTCTCCAGACAAACGCCCACCCAGCTGTCCCACATGGCGGCCCTCTCACCCCGCCTGCCTGGACGGCGTGGGTGGGTCGGTCGCCTCCGGCA